TTACCTTTTCTTCTTGCCCTTGAAGAATCCATAAATTTGCATTCACTCCTGAGGATTTTCATAAAGTATGGGCTTACCACCCAAAGAATATAGGTTTACCCAGAGGAATTTTCACCCCTAAAGAGCGTGGTGAATAGGGGTATACAAATCCGCCGATCCGTTATGATTTATTAACCATATCCACCCCTTCTATTTTCGCCCTGAATCGGAAATCCGGGTAAAAATATTTTAATTACACGCCAAGTCCAAAATCCAGGCCCATTGTTATGGAAAGTTGCATCACGAGAAGTTATAATGTGTTAAAGTTCTTAAATTGTGAAAAATACCTTTTCGTGAAAAAACAAAACAAAAACAAAAACAAAAAAACACACAGTATTATGGCTTTGGGTTGCTAAGGTGTGTTCTTGGGGATTGGCACTCAAAGGGTTAACTTTTAGTCATCAATATTATATAAGATCAGTACACATACTGTACCCTGCAAAACAGCATATTCCCAGGTAAGCTGGGAAGTGTGATTGTCTCTGTTGGGTAAACATCAAAACCTTACACTTCCCCTCCAAGGCTATGATGTCAATATAATGTAACATCTAGTCGTCACCAAGTTTTCCAATTATATGACTCATCGATCTGTTTGCTGAAAATCTCTGTGACTGTTTAGTTTACTGAGAGAATTTATGATTAATTATTTTATTATTGCAGTCTTCATTTTTTTGAATGACTGATCCATTTCAATATTCTTTATTTGCACTATTCAGGGATATTTTAGTGGTATTTTACGTGTATATCCGGAGTCAACAGCTTCAAAAACAGTGGTTGAGGTGAGCAAAAGTTGGTCACAGGGCAATACTGACCATTTTTGTTTGTCAGTCTCAGTCATGTCACTATTAATACAGGGGAAGTAAGGATGGCGCAGTGGTGAGAGCAGTCGCCTCCCACCACGGTGGCCTGGATTTCACATCCCTGCATCGACACCATTATATGGGTTGAGTTTGTTGTCAGTTCACTCCCTTGCTCTGAGAGGCATTCTTCAGGTACTCCAGCCTTCTTCTCTCCTCAAAAACCAACATTTCCAAATTCCACTTCAACTAGGAATCAGGTAGATGAAGAACCAAAAGTGGATGAGGTTTAAAATGGTTAAAAATCCCAACTGGTAGGAGGTGAACCAGTTGGCTATTTTACAAGCGTGGCTGAGGATTTGAACGTGGGACTACCAAGAACAAATCCAGCTACAACTAGTTGCAAAAGTAATTAAGACTCTACAGACTCTAGTTAAGTGCTGTATTTTGGCTTAAATGGCCTGTCCATGGTCTTGTGCATGTGATCCCCCCTCTACCCCTTATCAAAGTTGCTAGCAATACAAGACCATGCTCAAAACGTGAATGGAAGGGAGGAGGGAGGTCAGTATGATATCTCACAGACATGTGACTCGCAGTGATTTGAAGCAACCTTTTTACAACTGCTTGTAGCGTTCAGGGTGGGACTAAAATGAACCCGGGGCTCAGAATTACAAGTCCACCACTCAGCCATGCCACCTCCGCAATATGTTTCCCATTCTGCTGTCTTTGCTAAAAGTGCCTGATGCTGTACTTTCCTACTCTTAGACTTCTGCCGTTTCTTCTGAAACCTCAGAACCAGTTAAGTCACCAAGTGAGGCAGCTCCATTATCCGAAAAAGAGGAGTCACAGACAGCTGAGGTTGATGCTGCTGTTTCTCAGGAAGGTAGATATATAAGTGCTAAAAGTTGTCTCCTAACTCTATTTTCTCAAGATTGTAAATAATATTGTCAATAATAATAAATTTTATATCCTATGTCTCCTACCTGTAACCTTATTATTATTATTATTATTATTATTATTATTATTATTATTATTATTCATAAGGATGAAAATTAAGGTGAGCAGACAAAGGAAAGTGGAAATCAAACAAGGTTGAAACTATTTTAGAATGACTTTCATTTTGAACTTCAACAGAAAAGAAATGGAAAATTAATGACATTTTCCTTTGCTTTTACTTAGAAGATACACCACCTCCATTACCTGAGATTCCTGAACATGCAACATACATCTTAGTTGGAGCTGGAACAGCATCATTTGCTGCTTACAGGGCCATTAGAAAAGCTGATAACAATGCTAAGGTACATGTATTTATGTATTATTCTCAAGTTTGTTTATCCCACTATGTTCAATGACCAAAATGTCCTGGCCAATGTTATGGAACTCTGCTGTTCCATAGGGTTGACTTCCAAATGGTAATTTAGGGTCAGGGTCAAACTTGTGCTAATTTCCCATAGTAGATCATGTCATCCTCTCAGAGGGTTTGTCTTGTTGGAAATAAATGTTGCCTACCATCATATGATCTACAGTACATTGGGTACCATAACAATGAAGTGGATTACTTCAATTTATTGATCCTCCTGAGGAAAGATCACAACTCTGATTTCTCTGTGTTTAGGTACTGATAATTGGTGAAGAGGAATACCCACCATATATGAGACCTCCACTATCAAAAGAGCTGTGGTATTGTGATGATGATGAACTTGTCTCCCAACTGAAGTTTAAACAGTGGAATGGAAAAGAAAGGGGGTGTGTGTTTAATATTTTCATTTATGTAGGGTTAGTACTGGAGCTTTAAAAATCACAGAATGTTTAGAGGACCTGTACAATTCAGTGAAAGCTCAGTTATCCAGACACATCAGGACTGGGGTAAACAGTCTCAAAAGTTCAGAGTCCATTTGTTGCTCATCTTTTTCTCATTTCATTGTTTCTAACAGAGGATAATTCAGCGGCACTTGCCAAGTTTGTTCATCTTTTTTGGTGGCATGATCAGGGGCTCAGCATCAGTGTTAGTGGCACTTGCTCTCCAAAAGGAAATTAGTTATTGATCAGAAGCTCTTTTCGTATCTTGAATAAACAATAATCATGTCCTCTAAATATTAATTATCTTCCTGATGATTTTTATTTTGAAAATTAAACCAGAGAAGTCTGGATACACTGTATGTGAGGTGCCTATTCATTGTAATCGGTTGCAGATAGTTGAAGTTTGACTTTAGGATATCTTTATTTTGTATTTCTTTTCCTGTTGCATACATTGTAGAATCTTTTTTGAGCCAGAAGCATTTTTCTGTAAGCCTGGTGAACTACCAAGTAAAGAGGAAGGAGGTGTGGCTTTACTAAAGGGTAAAAAGGTAAGGATATTTGAAAGTAGTAACATTCTCAATGTTGCCAATAACCTCTTTTTTAAACCTCACTGATTGTCCTTTCTCTAGGTCGTAGGAATTAATAGCAAAGAGCAAAAAGTCAAGTTAGATGATGGAACAGAAATTGGATATGACAAATTGCTCTTGGCCCCAGGTTTGTTGCTAGGAACAGAAATTATTTTCTTACACTCTTTCTGGTAGAATGTTAAAATCTTGCAGACTTCAAACCTATGGTAAACATGATAATAATAATAATAATAATAATAATAATAATAATAATAATAATAATAATAATAATAATGGTAATAATAAAAATAATAATAATAATAATAATAATAGTAATATATTTAACGATAATATTATAATATTTAATGATAATGACAATAATAATGATAACACTTTATTTTCTACTACCGTAGACAACTAAAAGAATATGATAATGATAATAAAATGGTAATTTGGAAGAAGGAGAATTCTTATACCAGAAAGCTCAGAAAAAATAATCTGAGGTGAGAATCGAACTCATGACCCTCTGAGTTCTAGTTCAGATGCTCTAACCACTGAGCCACTGGAGGCTCTATAACAATGATAATAATACTGCTCAGTAGTTTTCACTCCATCTCATTTGAATTCTGGGAATTTATAACACTTTTTAGTAAACCAAAATGGGATTCAAATGGATATTAATCCTTCAGGAGCACCAGATATTTTGCAGTAACTAAAAAAAAAACAAAAACAACACAGAAAATTTAATATTTTTGTCATTTCTTGCTGAGTGATATCAATATTATTTCATCTCAGGTGGCATCCCAAGAAATCTTCCTATTTTTGAAAACAGCAGTGATGAAGTTAAGAAAAGAATAACCCTCTTTAGAAAGGTGAGAACAGTCTTTCCCATAGTTTTGTTTTGTATACATGTATGAAGACTTTTCTTGCCTACAGTGTTCTGACATGATTTTAACAACCATATTATTAGATTATAGAGCTCTACAGCTTAACTCACTATCAACAGTTCAAATGAAATGTAAATCAGTAGTTATCCCACACTTAGTTGCTTTCACTGAAGCTTTGTAACCTTTTAATGATCTGTCATTCCAAGAATAAAGCACCTACTCCTTCAAAATTAATTTTGGCAGGAAATTAGACTCAAAATTCGTCAAGCAGGACAAGTTGACCTAACTTAGTTGCCCTCTTGGTCCGCTTCAGAACCTATCTCACTTAAGCTTGCTTAATTAATTATTCCATTCTTTAGGATTACAGGATTACTGACAAACACTTCCCCCATATTTCTGATCAAAAGAGGTCATCTTTGTGCAAGTCTGAGGCGACAAGTGTACAGTCACATATTCTGTGCACATTTACATACATCCCTGCCTAATGCTGGCCAGTTATCAACAACTCTTATGTTATTTGCATGGATAGATAACATCATTCTCTGAACATCGTCTTAGTGCTTGACCTCTTGGGCTTAGTACTATAGAAATGAATATTTATACATTATTTGTTCTCAGATTGTGGATTTCAAAGATCTTGATGATGCTATAAAGGAGGCCAAGTCTGTTGCTGTTGTTGGTGGAGGATTTCTGGGAAGTGAATTGGCCTGTGCACTTGGCCACAGAGGTTTAGTCTCAAAAGATCGTATTGTGCTAAATACAGTTCTTTTTGCTAAATTCAACTTTTATCAGATGAAGGATAATCTAGTTTGGCAGCATCTGCTGTTACATACAATGTCCAAGAAGTTACTATACATGTTCTGTTTATTCAGTTATTAAGATAGCATTAAAATCAAGGACAAGTTCAGGGCTGTCACCAAGAGCTGGTGCTGGCAGCTACTATGAGCGTGATCCGTGGCTACTCTTATATGAAATAAAAGGAAAATGGAACCAAAAGAACTTCCTAGCTTTATTCTTCATCTTCTGGGTGTATGCAATTAGTATAATTCCTCTCCTACTAATTTCATACACCCAGCAACTTGAAATTTTAGCGACAGCCCTGAAGGTACAGACACCAGTACAACTGTATGTTTTCAAAACTGAGCTGCAAATAACAGTCACCCATTGGACAATATCCAACTTTTATTTGCACCCTGATTGGAGAAGCTTGATTTTCCTTACTTGTTAGTTCACATTCAATGATATTTTGTTTTTTCAATCAGGTAAGAAAACTGGTATGAACGTCCTGCAGATATTCCCAGAGGATGGTAATATGGGCAGAGTTTTACCCAAATATTTAACAGAGTGGACAACAAATAAAGTGAGAAAAGGTGAGAAAAGAAGAATACAGTGTACCTACAAAGTTGCTAACACTTCACTATTTAAACATTTGTTAAGTAAAATATCTTGTCTGTATCAAGCTTGATTTAGGGCATAAAATTTTGTATAGGCTTCCTTGTCATTACTGCTTTGAACATTTGTAAATAATTTAGTTAGAATAGTGTCTATTATCTTTAATATATTTTAAATTTCTTGTATATTATTGATGTATTCTTATGTGGTTAATGGCAAATATTATAAATCAATGAATGTATAGGGAGCTTAAGCAAAGATGTTTTTTGAGCAATGCAGCAGTTTTGCTGAAACTTCTGACATATCATCTCTTTGAGAATAAACACACTTGGCATTTCAAACTTGGCAGCATCAAGGCATTTTAAAGAGAAAACTCTTCACCTCCAGTTGACCTGCCTCTCCCAAAAACGCCTTTGCTCAAGCTCCCCAATATTTAATTGAGTACAACTGTGTAGTGGACGTGCATTCTTTGTGGGAGTGGTTGAGGCACAAATATTAATCTAGGCGGCTCATGCCTCAGTAGGTTCTTACAGCAGTGTTCTTACCAGGATTTCGTACACTGAGTCCACAGCACCCATTGAGAAGCTAAAAGGGGGTCATGAGGGAGAAAAGCGATAGATACAGTTAACTCAACGTTTTCACAGGTCTGAGTCTAATAAAGATGGGTGTTTTCTAAAGACCCCAAAACCAATTAAATTTTGGCTTATATTGTAAGGAAATGTACATACATTTGTATGTGTACATGTACATACGCTTACTTACGTTTTGTAATAGTTTTTTTTCTTTTTGTGCCTTAGGGACCCTTTGGGCTAATTATAGTGCGGCACTTCCTGAAAAAGTGTTGCGTTCTGATAGGAATATGCAGCTGTTAGTAACTGGATCTTCTTGTTGTGTTACAACCTAAATACAGCCTTAAGTTTCAGCCGTTTGAAGCGCTTGTGACCTTCTTGTGTCTGTACTTATTACACCACCTAAAGCATTCAGTTTTCTTATCAGATTTTCCTTATATTTTTATAGAGGGTGTGAATGTAATTCCGAATTCCACAGTGGAACATGTCTCATTCAAAGACAATCAAGTTAATCTTAGGTTAAACAGTGGAGAAGAGGTGAGATACTAGTACCTTTATTTTGCTTTGATGTTGAAAGAGAAAGCTAGAGTGCTTACCATTTACACAAACCACTTGTTTGAAATCTTGCATGTAAACAAAAGTACTTAACTATAAAATTTGATGTGATGGGGGAGAGTGACCCATCACAAAGTATGTCTATATCAGTTGAACAGATGGCTAAAAGTGTAGAAAATTGCATCACCTCAAATCACAGCCCATATTTTCTGAAGCTTCGTAAACAAAATGGCATGAATCATTTGATTTTCTAACCAGAATTTGTGGTTTTCCCATGTCAATGGTACGTACCCCTGGTCATCAATACATTGTTACTGGTCAGGAAGTATTCAGTGTCTACTTCCTGATAGCCTGTGTACAGCCGCCCCTCCCCTCAAAAAAATCGATTTTTTTTAGGGGAGGGGCGGCTGTACACAGGCTACTTCCTGAGATCTTACGTTTGTTGAATCTATTTACTGGGCTCTCTGGAAACCAGGGTAAAACCCATCTCATAAAGGTCCTTTTAAGAAGAGTTGACTTCAGTAGAAGTTTATTTTTACAGGTTTGTAGCAACACTGTCATTGTATCTTAGCAAATGTTTATCTTGCAGCTCCAAGCAGACCGAGTGATTGTTGCAGTAGGCCTGGAACCAAATGTTGAGCTTGCCAATGTTGCTGGTCTCGAAGTGGACCCAATTCTTGGAGGTTTCCATGTCAACTCTGAACTACAAGCCAAGTCTAATATTTGGGTGGTAAGAAGGCAAAAGATGACTGCCATTGGACAGAGACTGGCTAAATGCCTAGTAGTTGTTTCGCTGACTGCTATATATTGCTCAATTTAGTTCTTCCTGAAATTTCACCTCATATGCCAGACTTTATACATTTTGCGTTAATAGTTTGTTGTGATGATTTTAGGCCGGAGATGCGGCTTGCTTTTATGATCCAAACCTCGGAAGGCGCCGAGTGGAACACCATGATCATGCTGTGGTCAGCGGAAGACTGGCAGGAGAAAACATGACAGGCGCAGGCAAACCTTACTGGCACCAATCCATGTTTTGGTCAGTGCTATGATGGCCTAGCGGCCTTATAAAGTAATAAAAGTTTCGGCCGGGTTAGGATCCAGGCTGGTTTTATTTGTAAATTCTCGAGCACAAGTTTTTTTCCTTGTGCCTGTGACTTTACTAACTAACATAGCAGGCACGATAGTCTGGAACGATACTCTTGTGGTGTGCGTGAAAGAAATACCCAACAAAATTTTATCTTGTTTTAATAGGAGCGATCTAGGGCCTGATGTTGGTTACGAAGCTATTGGATTGGTAGATTCTGTGCTACCGACGGTAGGAGTCTGGGCCAAAGCAACCGAAGCTGACACGCCTAAAGCAGTAGTAGAAGCTACAGGTGAAGGCGTCCGCTCAGAAACAGAGGGTGAGGTGAGTCGGTGGAAAAACTTTGTACCTTTTTTGAATTGGTCAACTAAAACGCCACAGGGGGCTCTCACAAGGTCGCTTACGAGAGCTTCAGTCAGAAACTCATTGACAATTCATGAAGAAAAAACAAAAGAAAGTAATATTTAATGAGTGTCTTTAAAATTATCTGATATAGACCAGGCTAAGCCTTACGTCCAGTTTGTTTTTAGACCATTAGCACAGTGCATTTTCATTAAAGCGTTGATTTATATGAATAACACTAAAAGTGGAGGCTGAGTGGTCGCTTACGAGAGTTTAAAAACAAAAGAAAAGTCCAGTTGGGTAAACCCCAAGGTGGTCGCGGTCGCTTCTTCGTTTTTCTTGGATTTTTATCACTGACTTAAAGTACTGAAACATTTTTTCAACCAGGGATCTGAGCCCTCCCCTGTGGTGCTCACCCAGCCAGCGGCCCCAGTCCCTACCGCGTCGTCAGAGGAGTTTGGTAAAGGTGTTGTATTTTACATGAGAGGCAAGCGAGTCGTGGGAGTTGTATTATGGAACGTCTTCAACAGAATGCCCCTCGCCAGAAAGGTTAGTGTGATTTAGTTGGTAATGCATGGTTGGATCAATTAAGGTGTCTGGGGAAAGTGCCCACCTACCCCTCTCCTAAGCTAACATTAACACTTGCTTCTCACTTAGGGCAAAATGATGGCGTAGGGGAGGGGTAGGTGGGCAGTTTCCTAGAAACCTTAAGTGATCCGCATTGCTCTTTTTGCTCTTTTTCTCTTCAAAGTGTCACCGTCCCGAATCAAAAGCCAGAAGAAAATCTGATGTGGATTTAAAAAATATTTATTTGGACACTTATTTGTTAACCGTTTAGTATTTGACTTTTGTTCGTTCTTTCTTGCTTTGCAGATTATTAAGGAGGGAAGAGACCAAGACGATCTTAATGAGCTCGCTAAACTGTTTGATATCCACAAAAGCTAACCGTTTTAATAAATGTTAATTCCGATAAACTACACTTCAGACATTGTGACACCACGGTTGTAGTCCAATCAAGTATCGAGTGTTGGCAATGCAAATAGAGAATGGTAGAGCTTCGTTAGACCAGTTCTTCTCAGAAATCAGACATTACGCTCTATCGCCCCCTGAAAGAGTGTGTGACAAAAGGATTGTGTGACGAACTACGTATAAGGGACATTTTAAAAGGAAATTATGAAGAGCCCCCGTTTGTGAGCTCATAGTTATGACGTTTGTTCCCAAAAAGTCAAGTTGTTGACGGGCAACAAAAATTCAACTTGTTGACTGAGGTAAATGCAGAACATATTCTTATAATAAAAACGATATTTTCTCTTCCAAGAGTAGTTTGGTTTTCAAGTTTTATTTCATAGCATGTGGCAGCTACATTCGTCACTTTAAAAACGAGAGGGAGACTGGACCGAGTAAACGTTTGCAATGACTTCTGGGACTGTTATTAGGGACAAATAAAAAATGGCCAATATCCCCAGTAGCGATCCCAGAAACAATTGCGCGACACATTTCGGCTCCAGATCTCTTTTCGTTTCAAAAGTGGCGAATGTTTAGTCTACGCCTTGCCCTAACCCCAGGGTTCTTTTCTACCCGTCCGGGGAGAGAACCCTGGGAACGAGGTTGGTCTTGCCCCTTGCTTTGGCTTGGTTTTACTAAAGCCCCATGCAAACGGACGCAACATTGTTGGCCAACAACTTCCAACATTGTTGGATATCACGTGTTGCGTCTGTTTGCACACCCACCCTGTTTTATGTTGTTGGAAGTTGTTGCACAAAGTTTGAAACCGGTCAAACGTTCATCGACGTGCAAACGGACGCAACAACTCCCAACATGTTGGACCAACAATGTTGGGAGTTTGTGCGTCCTTTTGCACGTAGCTTAACATGAACGTCAACAGTGGAAAGAGAACAAAATCTGGGAGGGATATGGCAGTATGAAAGTTTTCGTTTTTTCTTTTTTTCATCCCTACTGAGCCAGTCAGTTGGTTGGTTGTCCTGCGCTCATTTCGTAACACAAAACAATCTCCTCTCCACATTCTTCGGGCTTTTTGATCAGGCCAGCGAGGCCAGGAAAGACTCTGGGAAACTGGAATTTGTTTACAGAAAACGTGGGCGTCGCTCAGCTGACCAAAAAGCCCGAAGACTCTGGGTACGAGGAACATAGTGACGAACAGTTCATTTACAAATTTTGTTTCTTTTGCCGCTATATTTAAAAACTCACACCAAACATCAATTGTATATGAATATCAATAATAACACATTCTCAAATTTGCTCAGCCCGCAAAAATATTTTATTGAATTACATCGGAACGTAATGGCAGGAGCACCCAACGACAACCGATATTCGGAGTTTTTGTACTAACTTACGTACGATTTTCGGAGGTTGTGTTTTTGCCGTTTTTAGACCAAGATGTTCCGATTATTGTTAACAGAGCTCTCCTGAAAATTTCGGTATAGAGCCGAAACGTCCCCTAGAATTTTCTAATGAAAGTACGGCTACTCATGCCTTTGATTTACGACAGGACCCTTTAGCAGTGATCGCATCAGGGTAGCCAGCAGTTTCGGGGGGACCTAATGGGCGGCAGGTGGTATTTGGTTATGACGGCTTAAAGATACTTTAAAATACCACCTTCATGTTTACAATATGTTAACTGTCCACGCGTCCAGCGAACTCGCGAGCAGGTGAAATGCATTTTGTCACTTAAACTCATGGCTTAGAGCGGTTTTCACTTGACTGTCGTAAAACCAAAACCAAAGTAAATACACTAGCCAACCAAAGGGCGTAGTAAAACCAAAACCAAAACCAAAACCAAAACCAATTACTTTCGACAGTCAAGTGAAAACCGCTCTATTCACTGTACCATGTGCAAATAATTGATGCCCGAAACCTCGGAAAATTAATTAAAACCACAAAGCTTATAAAATTGATGCTTGAGAATAGGAGCAAGTAATTACTGCTTTAAGTGGAAAACGTCTGTAATTAATGCCTCGGCTTTGAATGAAGGTGTCATTCACAGCTTTGCCGGCTTAAGGAGACGGACATTTTCACCTCTAAATAGAATGCGTGATTCGTGGTAACAAAATCTGCGAGTAAGAGTCGCTCACAGGGCATTTTTCTAGCGAGGTAGATCATTCGGGTTTGTTTACGATGACAAGCACGACTTTTATAGGTTTACTTAGCCGCATTGTTGCATCTGGGGAGTTCAAATCCTTACACGAATATTTAGCAACCTTTTTTGAGTCGAGTTACCGAAATAGCTGCGAAGAAAACACAGCGTTTTGTTGTGAACTCATCGAACTGCATGCTAAGCTTCAAGGGCAGCTGTTTCACCTTCTGGAATTGTGTTGTTCTGAAGGGGGAATTTATGGAGGAACCGAAGNATCTTGTTGATAACGGCACCAACTTGCACTGCCTGTTGGGCAGTAGTCATGAAGGGGGCGTTGCTCAGTGGATGCACAATGCATTAGGCTAGCATGAATTGCTTTCTTCATGCCAGCAAGATTTCCAACATTTGATCTTATGGCTATGCCATAGTAGTTTTGAAGTTTGTCTATTTGACTATCAGTCAGTTTACCCTTGCCTCCTAAGCCTGGGTTCTCTTGCTTTAATTTATGAAGTGCAGTTCCCACTCTCTTCTGGACATGACCAATGCATTCCTTCTTTTCCATTTCTATTCCATCATCTTCATAAACTCCTTTCACCCTTGTGAAGCTCTTACTGTCACCATCACCATAAAATTCAGTGTATCTGAGGTTGTGTTTTTCAACAGACCTCTGAAATATGCGATCTGCTCCCTCTGGCTCCATGGCTGGTGCTGATCCCTGGAAGTTTGCATGTTCATTATAGCACAGAATTTTTTTGCTCCAGCATAACCTTTGCCAATAGTTCTCATGCCATACACAAGACGTCTATTTACTTCACAGCTCTTTCCTTGCTTTCTTGAAGTACAAAAAGAAAATTTCCAGCCACAGTGTTCACACAACAAGCGCAAAGTCGAGGCACATCCCTTCCGCTCTGTGCTATCTTCCATCAACAGAAGGCTGAAACTGCCACAATCTCCACACCGTAGCTGCTCAAAAACAGACGACAGCACCTCCATATCGAAAAATCTAAATCCGTTAATAGTGGGACTATCTTCCTCTGAATATTTATCTTGTACCTTTGGTTTAGGCTTCTCTTCTTCGGCATTTGTCACGAGCTTTTGATACGACGCTGAACATTCCTTCGCTTCCTCTTGACCATGCGAAGAACTCATTGCCGATCCACTTGAAGTGCTTTCCACCGCACTAACCCTTCTTCATTCACTCCTTGCCTACTAGTAAACCGATTTCCATAAAATTATATTTTCTTGCGTCTTTGAGATGAAAATTTCGGCATTTTGTAGGTCAAACTAGTGTTCACTTGCGAAGATCTACAACTTGACGATTGCAAAATGGCTGATTGTTTACCGCATGGACATGAAATCGAGACTGTTGGGTACCAGTCTTCCAATAGATGATCCTCGGTCAAAACAACTCGTTTTTGGCCTAATTTTGGCCCACGAAACAAGCATTTTTCGGCTCCAAAACGACGCGTAAACAAACCCGTTACCATGACAACCAAGCGACAGTGTTTAGGAAATTACAGTTTTTTTCTCTATACCAATTAAATACTGACAAAAAAATTATGCTGGATGAAAAATAAATCATTGAAGATATGAAAACGAGCAAAAAAAATTTTCGGACAATTTCTCAAAAAACTCGCATTTTTTTTGTATAGTACCACCTTAAAAGTGTCACGCTGCTTTTGTTGAAGTTAATTTTAAGTTGCCTAGCAACTAGTGGGGTAAGCGCTCCTTGTCACATGACAGCTGCGGTAAGAGAGGGTAATTAATGCGTGAAACCTCGATTTTGAAACAAAATTATCGTTTAATACGTTACAAGAAGTGTTGAAGTTTTTGTATTGACACGAGTGATAGGCGAAAGAGACTTTTCCAGAATTTTCGTTGTAAGAAAATGGTGTTTATGCTGCGAAAGGTGAAATCTTCCTTTGTAGGTTTTTGAAGATCCGTATGAGTAATTTCAAAGTCGCTGTATAAAAAGCGTTAATCCGATTTGATGTCGTTAACTTTAAGGTTAAGCCATGCGAAGAACGAACTAGTGGCCAGAGAATGCCAGATAAAAGAGCTAACTAAAGAAACTATTGAACTGAAGAGAGAGAATTCTGAGCTACACGGAAGGCAAGTATTTCGTTGGGGAGGAAGGACGGGGTAGGAGCTCTGGTGAAATGGCGAAAAGTGGGAGTTCTAATAAAGTGGGAAGTGGAAGAAACAAAGGGAAAATGGCGCCACAAGACGGAAAGGACCTAAAGGGAGGAAGCCAAAAGAAATGAGGGGCGGGAGCTGGAAATGGAGGAGGTTTCGGGAGGCGGGGGTTTGGACCCCCTTGTCCCCCCTCCCACTTATTTCAGATCTTTTTAAAGTACATACCCATCTTTATTAACCGCTGACAGATCGATCCTCGTCGACAAATGAGGCAAAAAAATATAAATCCTTTGACGCCAGTCAGAAACAAGATCAGCTCTAACAGTATAGCCCTAATTAGTCAGTGCTTGGTACGTCAGCCTGAAACTCGGACAATCTATCTTCAATTTTCTCTTCACATTGGTGCTTCGTTCTACGCGTATTTAAAAAACTGTGAGACAAAATCTTTACACACTTCTTTCGTATTTCTATTGACTATATACTCAAAAAAGATTGTCGTCTCTTCAGAATTAACATAGATTAAAAAAACTAAACGCAGTGAATATGAAACAACGATAGAAACAACGCGAACGTGTTGGGCACTTGCTTTATGGAGGTTATTATTATTATTATTATTATTTTTGCCCACTGTTAATGGCATACTTTAATTTCAGACTTCAAAAGAAAATCCTGGAAGCTGTTTCGGAGCCCGAGCCAGTTCGCCTCGTGACGAAAC